TAGGCCTGGTCACAAACTACCATGGGGGAAGTAAGTAAAAAAAAAAAAAGTAAAGGTATGCCTGTAACAGGCCCTGGAGACCCATAGTGTTGTAAGATGTTGAGGTTCCCACATTTTCTAGACAGTCAACTCATAGATGGCGGTAAGGTTGTCAGCCTTACACGCCGGCCGCCCCTTACTCCACAGAATATTTCAAGAACATTCCTGGTACTCATTTCTGTTAGAGGCTGAGTCGACCCCAGGACCATAGTGCGGCTGAAAGGATTAGGTAATTTGAAAAAATCCACCTCATCGGGAATCGAACCCTCGACCTTCCGGCTTGTAGCATAGTGCGTCAACCAACTACGCTACCGCGTACCGCCACCATGGGGGAAGAGGCGTTTCTAATTGTGAAAGAGCAACATGGTGCGAGGGAAATCTTAATGATAACCATAATGTTACTGAGAGCACACATTTAGAGGAAACGGCAATTGGGATGTACGCATTGTGTGCGATTTTTCCTCTCCTGTCGGCTTTGATGTTCTCATGCAGCAGAGAGAAAGCTGCAACAGACTGGGCTATCAATAATACGAAAAGACAGTACACTAAGTAGAGTTGTGGGCCGCGCCATAGCTTAAGCAGTTAGTCGCTGGCTTCCCGTTCGCGGCGGCCCGGGTTCGATCCCGGGTCAGGTCAAGTGGGATTTGTGGTGGACAAAGTGGCTCTAAGGCACGTTCTCTCCGAGTACTTCTGTTTCCCCTGCCAATCTTCATTCCACCAATTGCTCCACAATGACCCTCACCTATCATCTGGGGCTGGTACAAGAGGCCAGAAGTGGTCGCAGTACAAAGGACTTAGTCCCACCCCACTAGCAATAAAAACAAAAAGTAGAGTTGTAAGCTATATTATTAACGTGCCAGTCAACTGCATAGCCATTTAATTTACTTTTTTTTTCGTTAAAATAATTGCTGTTTTAGTAATAAACCATTCCCTGTGTCTTAACATTTTATGTCATACGAGTATATATGTAAGGTAAAGCCATCCCTGTAAACAGGCCATGGATGCCATTAGGCTTGTGAGACGTCGAGGCTCCCACATTTCCTAGACAGTCGGCTCGCAAAAGGTGGTGAGTTCAGTCTTACGCGCCGGCCACCCTCTACCCCCAGGAAGATTTCTGGTACTCATTTCTATTAGAAGCTGAGTCGATCCCAGGGCTATAGTGCTGCTGGAAGGATTAGATCAATTGAAAAATCCAATGGCGTCGGGAATTGAACCGGCGACCCCCCGGCTTGCAGCATAGTGCCTCAACCAACTACGCTTCCGCGTGCCCCAAATAGGTAAAATAGTTTAATTAATACCAAAGACACGTAAGAGCCATAAAGCCGGTCATGGTATCCGAGCGGTCTAAGGCATATACTGTCTTCACTCGCTCGGAACCCGGAATCGTGGGTTCGAATCCCCCACACGGAATGGATGTTTGATATATGTATGTGTTTATTCTGTGTTTATGTTGTGCTGTGTTTAGGTGGAGGCCTTGCGACGAGCTGATCACTCGTCCAAGGAGTCTACAGTCTGTAAAATGACCATGAAACTGAAAATCAGAGGCCAGGCCCAAGGGGGCTGTAGAGCCAGTGGATAAACGAAGAGCCATAAATTCCAGCAACTTGTTTCTCTTTAGATAGAGATCATGTCTTGGCATAACACAGAAAAAGTAATATCATTTTAGCACTTAAAATGCGCTTACACTTACGGTTATGCAATTTAGTTATGAGTGCGAACTTCGGTCTATAGCTGTTTACAAGTTATGAATTGCGAATTGGGTGGAATTAGAGAACTAATTACCTGCCTAACTACCTGTCACTCGGCGCTACAGCCCTGGATGAGCCTTGGCCTCCTCTACAACCAGTCTCCAGAACCAGTGCATGTTGCCATAGGAATGGACCCACGCATGATGACCGGAGGCTGGTTGTTAGGTTTCTGAACAAAATTCTTTTTACAGAATGAGTTGTTAGCCTCATGCCCAGCCCCCAACCTGGAGGACCAGGGTCTCTCCCTTAGTCTGGACTCTACCCTTTGACCTTTCCGGCATATGTGACATTACTGGTAGTTAAACTACCGCCGGCATAGCTCTCCAGGTCACGGAGTCACGCAAGCCCCACCACCATGACAAGGTGGCGAGATCTTTGGGGGATAGAACTAAGTAGTATCTAATTTTATTGAATTTTCTGGCGTTCACGTGGTAGGATCATGCGATATATTGAACATTATCGGAAACGGTAAACAGTTTGTACATTTATTCAAGGACCGTCCAAGCGAGAGTGAGGCGCGTTTTACGCTGAACTAAGTTGGTCACATTACTCATTGTATTTTAGGTTCCTTTAACGACGATTTGTGAATGATGATTTGGCAGGTATGGCGACTAAAACGGCCATGGAATGCCAGTATTCAGCTGGAAGGAATGAAGAAGCCCACGGAAACTTTGCCCCTAGTAGTTCGCAGCCAACACAATTCGTACCAAACATGGTGGGCTTATGACTTATAAATGTCACACGCTTAATGCAATCAACCGAGATAACTTAATAAAGTAACTTTCTGTGGACTGGACCACTGGGATTTGATTATGTGTGGATGCAAGGATTTTTCTGTTCACCATTACGACCAGACCGGCTCTGGGGCTCGCTCAGCCCCCGGTTCATTAGGCACCGCGTAAAGCAGCCGGGTCGTGAAATAGACTGCTCACCTCCTGTTGTCTGGCGTTAGAATTCCTGCAATTTTATTCCATGCCTCATATAGGCCTAGACACTGAAGGCGTGATGCGTGGTACAGAAGTAACTTAATTTTTTATTTAAACGTCTATGTATTAAGTCCGTCAGTAATGCAACAATCATTAAAATATTCACCATTTAACACTAACAGATGTTTCGGCCACAGACGGCCATCATCAGGTGTTTCAGTGCGTCCAAACTGTTACTTAAAATGACATAAATAATTACCTAAATTCATTACAATTTTTCTATTAAAATCTTTCGTAAAATCCTATTAAATCAAAGCAGTGTAACAGTTTGGACACATTGAAACACCTGAGAATGGCCGTTTATGACCGAAACATGTGTTAGTGTTAAATGGTGAATATTTTAATGATTGTTGCATTATTGACGGACTTAATACATTGACGTTTAATTAAAGATGTGCAACAGGATGCTGAAATACAGAATTATTTTTTATATTTACGCATAATATTACCTACCTGGTTTGGGAATGCGAAAATTAAGCTTATTAAAAGGGTGGCGTACTTGGTTGAGGCACTATGCAAAAGTCGGAAGGTCGCCGGTTCGAGTCCCAATGAGGTCATTGGATTTTTTTAATATTACATAATCCTTTCACCCTCACTATGGCCCTGGGGTCGACTCGGCCTCTAACAGAAATGTACCAGGAATCTTCCTTTGGGTAAAGGGCGGCCGGCGCGTAAGGCTAACAACCTCACAGCCTTATGTCAGCCGATTGTTAGAAAATGTGGGAACCTCTACGTCTCACAACCCTATGGGCCTCCACGGCCTGTTACAGGGATGGCTTTACCTCTTACCTTTTAGACGTTGGGCCGCGCCATAGCTCAAGCGGTTAGTCCGCTGGCTTCCCACCGCGGCGGCCCGGGTTCGATCCCGGGTCTGGTCAAGTGGGAATTGTGGGGGACAAAGTGGCGCTGGGGCAGGTTTTCTCCGAGTACTTCGGTTTCCCCTGCCAATCTTCATTCCACCAATTGCTCCACAATCAACCTCACCTATCATCTGGGGCTGGTACAATAGGCCAGAAGTAGCCGCAGTACAAGGGACTTAGTCCCAGCCCACTAGAAATAAAAATAATACCTTTTAGACGTGCTATTTTCTGTAGTAACGAAATGTAGGCTATATTAGGATTTCGATCAATTGAATTATTAATCCAAGTTTTATTTTGTTCGTGGTTTGATTCGATCTCTCGAGACAAATGCCGGGATAGGACGTCAAACTAAGCCACGAGCTTATCCTTCCTTCCACGTCCCTTGCAATCAGTGAGGCCCTGTTCACTAACCCCCTTGCTATTCGACCATATCATAGCCCGAGCTACTGACAGTGTCGTTATATAAGCACAGTCTTCATAGTCATTACCGGACTTCCCAGTTTGCAGAATGCTGAAATTTTCTCCTTTGCAGACCTCGTGAGTTAATCGAACAATTCGCATCCTATACACACATATAATAAGAACTCTTAAATGAATGTTCTGTGGGCCTGCTGAAGACGTAATTAGCTTACTCGGAACTCAGGTTCACGAAGATTTCCATGAACATTGGTTCTGTCTAAGAGTTTCCTTAATATTATTCCACCATCTGTGCGTAGTTGTCTAAAATTATCTCTTACAGCCAGCTTTCGCACCCAAATTTTGTATGTATTTCTTGTGTTTGTCATCTGCATTGCTTTTCTATAGCAATCTCATTGTCCTTGATTTAACCACCCCACCACTGTTAGGCCAATATGATAATTGTGCAGCTCCTCATTACGTAGTACTTTTTTTTCAATATTTGTTGCTCTTTTTTCTTGAGAGCCAAGGCAGCAGATATTTTTCTTTACCACTTCTATAAAGATTCTGTGGTTCACACAGTCAGCGATCTAATAAGGAGTTTTGCTCCAGATGCATAAAGCAGCCGAGGTGTAGAATGTGTCCATGTTTCGTCAGCGACTTCATGACCACTATTTCCCTCTATAGAGTTCTGTGATCCGTTGTCGTGCCTACATGTGACATAGCACTCTTGTGCGTGTGCTGTCAGATTTTTTGTGAAGTATCAGACGTCGGTATGCACCTTCGGAAGCCAGGAACAAAATTAACAAATGACTTACGGCCAGTGTTGTTTAGAGCTCGACGGCGCGGAGCGCTGAAAATAAATCCCGACGGACTTTGGGGTTCTTGTGTTCACCTTCTGTCTTATGTACAAGTCATTGTCTTTAGAGAGACGAGCAGTCTGCCTTAACGATTTTCTCCCCTCCCCACAGGTGAATGGTGACGCGGAATGGGAATACGAAGAGATCGTACTGGAACGAGGCGGCGCAGGTTTGGGGTTCAGCATCGCCGGTGGCACAGACAACCCGCACATCGGCGATGACACGGCCATTTATATCACGAAACTCATCCCCGGCGGGGCGGCGGCGGCTGACGGCAGGCTACGCGTTAACGACACCATTCTGCAAGTTAATGATGCGACAGTGGTGGACGTGCCGCATGCCGCGGCGGTGGATGCCCTCAAAAGGGCTGGCAATGAAGTCAGACTGGTGAGTGGCGCCCAAATCTTCTGCTGGATTTTACTGTGAGAACTTCTAACAATTAATTAGTTTAGTCACATTTTGTGTTAAAATTGGTACGTCTCGCATTGGTTAACGCGTCCTTCGCATCCAAGAGGCGTCCGCTTGTCTCTTGGCTATTGCACCTGCTATCTGTATTGAGACAGTTGTTATCTCGCCCTCTCCGCATGGACGCCAGAAATAAATAAGCTTGTAACGGCATCAGCTTATAACGTTTCCTAGCCCATCCATTATCCTCCCATCTCATTCAGTTCAAATCAGAAAGAACGCCTTAATACTTATTTTACTTCACAATGAGTACTTCTTTATATCCTTTGTTTTTTTATGATAAATAATGTATAGTGGAAGGTCTGATAGAAACGCTGACTTCGTTAGAAAGGGTTTTGAACAAATGAACAAACCATATCAGTATGCAGACTTGTTGAAACGCGAGAAAATGATAATTCTGTAATTCTGCTGCAGTATGTCCGAAGACGCCGCAGTCCAGGCAATGTCCGTTTGCTGGAGATTGAGCTGCTTAAGGGCACGAAAGGCCTCGGGTTCAGTATTGCAGGTGGAATAGGCAACCAGCACATACCAGGTGACAATGGCATCTATGTGACCAAGATTATGGATGGTGGTGCGGCGCAGATTGACGGTCGGCTGTTGGTCGGAGACAAGCTGGTCGCAGTCCGCAACACGCCGGTAATTATTCACACACTGCATGTCATTTATCTGAGAACTATGCTGTGAAAAATATTATCTGCACTTATAGGAGAATGCAATTAGCCTCTTAAAGGTAAGTTAAATTTATTTTCTTACATATGTGTACCGTGCGAGTTCTTGCGTAAGTAGATATAAAGTGCTGATGTTAACATTGCTTCAGTCTGAGGCAAAGGTAAAGTNGCTTATAGGAGAATGCAATTAGCCTCTTTTAAAGGTAAGTTAAATTTATTTTCTTACGTATGTGTACCATGCGAGTTCTTGCGTAAGTAGATACAAAGTGCTGATGTTAACATTGCTTCAGTCTGAGGCAAAGGTAAAGTTGTTCCTGTGCTTAATTAAATAAGCACTATGCCTTGAAGGCGTATGGTGGAGTGGATGTCTAGATCCACATTTTCTTGACCTCGGCACTGGCTGGAGGTGAGTGGTCAGCTTCACGCCCCGACCGCTTTACCTCCTGGGAAAGAGCCCCCGGTACCCATTGGATAGGAGGTTGGATAGACTCCAGAGCCGATCTGGACAATGTGGAGAAGAGAAAATTTTTTACCCTACAGAGACTCGAACTCGGACCCCTCAGTCGTTCACTCCTTAGTTACTCGCTATAGCGACTATGATATCCCATTCAGTATGAGGTATGCTTCAGAAATTGGTTCTGCTCTCATTCCATCTTATGCAATGTAGTGTTCTCCCACAGTTAGTTTCCGCCAGTAGCACTTAGTTTGAACTCCTTTATTACTTTCTTAATAACTCTGACCATTTGGTCTATATAGACATTACTGTAATTTGTAATCTTATTCATAAATTTGAGTTTGTATTATAAATATAGTTAGCCAGTTAACCTGAGATTCATCCTTCAAGTGTAAATGATGTTGTGGGTGATTGTTAGATTCATTATAATGTAAGTGTTTGCAGCAGGTCAGAACTCTTTTGAAAATAATAAAAGTGAATAACTGACAGTTTTATTTAATTATTTCAGCCAAAAGGCGCATTAACTTTTGAAATCCTCACAGCAGTGGTTGTGAAGTGTCCTGTCTTGGGATATAACACTATATAGTCCATTGAATGTCGACTGACATTTCAGAGGAACATATTTCATCCGTCTTCATGGTTGAACAGTAAGCTAAGCAGATTTCTTGCTTGGTTTACCCTTCAGCCCTGGAGGTGGAGACACATTCTTCTGATGCATCCGTTGACTTTCAACAGACTACATGTCATATCCCAGAAGACAGGACTATTTATCATCCTAACTTGGTGGCATAATATATTATTGGAATTCAAGGTTTAAGTGCCAGTTTGATGTTGACGTTTCAATGCGTGAATGCATGTGTATGTATACTGAGTTTTACTCATTAGACTTGTGGACAACATAGTTATTGAATATGTTAAAAATATTTGAAAGACGATACAAAAGAGAAGGAAATTCTAAGTTGGAACAAAATTTGATAATATTTCACATCTGGTTCCTTCTAGCTTTTATGTATTATTAACAATTTACAGACTGAAGGTCTTTTAATTGATATATAAAAATTCAATTGGAAGAAACATATTATACCTCCAGTACAAAGACCAACCAGTCAATGCTGTTGAGGGAAACAAACGCTGTTCTTTGTGAGAACCATATGATACAGATACACTCTGCAGGCAGAATACAGAGTTTTAGTATGTTAAAGCAGGTATTACAGAACCATGGGGCTTTAAAGGGTTGATAGAGGTATGTAGTGGCTGCATGTGGGAACCACTAACATAGTGAACCCCAGTGGTTTTAAAATTGTGGTGTGCATGCAGCTTAGGAATAAGAATGCTTGTTTGTTTTTTGGGGTTTGATGTGAAGGATATGTAGCAAATTGTTGTGTTGTGATGTTTAGTAGTCAAATACCATAGCTGCAGGCAAAATAATGTTGATTGGAAGCATGAGAAAAACAGTCTAAAAAACTGCTGTTGAATATGCCAGGCCTCAGTAAACATTAGCAGTGTTATGCAGTGCTGTAAGTGGGGTGGTTTGTGCATAATTTGGGATTAAGCGAACCTCCAAACTGATACCAGTAAAATCTTACTATATCTTAAAATCTTCTCTGTAACAAAGACCCAGCCTATGATAAGGAAAATCCTGAGTCCCAGCAGGAGAAATTACAAACACACAGTATGCTTAAGTGGGCTCAGCCACTACAAATGACTTCTATATAACAAAGCCCAAACATCTGAATGCATGGAATTGCTGTGTGGGAGGCTTTGCTGTAATTTCTGTTGGTGTGAGAGAAACAGGGTGGTTTCCAACATACTCAGATGAATGGTAGATACATAGATATGACACATTTAATTTTGTGGATGCCTCATTATGAAGAATCAGTTTTGTAGAGAAATGTGCCTTAATGGTTATGAATTGTGAATATGTGGGAGTTGTACAACCAGCATGAGTAATTGAATTAAAATATATATATTCCTGTTGTACATGCAAACTGCTTTCAAAATTAGATTTAAAACAGACCAACAAGCATCCATTTTTAACCAGTTCAGTGTTCGTTGTCCCATGCACTTTCCATGCAATCAGATTGTTATAACAAACTTGTCTTTTAAATCAGCATAATGTGTTCAGTATGAATTGACTGGGAGTGCCATACAGAAACATCTTTCAGTGTCAGTCCAGTAGCCTTAGGATTTAGTGGTGACACATTATTCATCATATACCACCCAGCTTTTATGATTATTGACAAATCATTAGACATGGGATCTATCCCTGTAACAACCATTCAATATTTCATTTCTTCTGAAAAATAAATAACCACTTAAAGCCATTTTCATTAGCCCTAGAATGGACTGATACAGGATTGAAGTATCTTAATTATGTTATGGATGTATTCTGTTCATATCTGGGCCATGACACTCATTTTCTGGACTGAGGAGATTTCAGGAGCTAACCTTGGTTCAACCAGATCAGTGCTTGGTTAGTATGACCAGTCTGTGTGACCTTTTCTAGCTTAACCCTTTTAACTACATATCACATATCAACTGCTCGCCAAATTTGGCACCGCACAATCTCAGTAATTGATAGAGTGTCTTTAAATAAACTGCGAATTGATTAAGTGTGACTTGGACAAATAGGCCTAGTATTGAGCATCTATCTACTGAAAGTTGTATAGATGCTGAATTTCATTTAATAAGCAGAATATAAATTTGAATTTGAATGTTATAGGAACTGCTAATGTTATCAAACACTGAGGTAATTCCATATTAATTTCAGTGTCCTTTGTTATTTATTCTGATATTTTATGACACATTATTAGCTGTTAAAAGACATTTATTGTCAGATGATTTATGATAAGAATGATTATAATTACTCAGTTGGGAGGAATTGATTGTGGCCAATTTTAATATACTTCCTGGTACTCGGGGAAAAACCAAGTCAGTTTGCACTTGATGTGATTCCACGCAGAGACCTTTAGAACGTTTCGTACCTTAGTAATATGTGTGTGAGATTGATTGTGTTTAGGTTATAGAATAGAATGTCACTAAGGGATAAACTGAACTCCCTTCTTCCCAAATGTGGACGCTCCATTCCCTTTTGTGTCCCATATGTTCTGTCGGCTGGCATGTCTTCAGAGTCTGTGAGAGGGGGTTAGAGATATGAATAAATGACTGGATTTATGAGAGCAGAGTTCTGGTTGCCAAGAGAATAGAAGGAAGAGTGTTTGCAGCATCTTGTCTCAGTTCGTTTGAAATTTAAGTAACAACTATGTAAGAGGAAGATTACAGACCTCCCAAGGTATGTGTGCTGTCGCAGATAGTGGGATCAAATAACAGAGGAGGTTGGGAATTGGGATTACAGTTGTGCTAAGTGGTTTTGCAACCTTTTCCACTCCCATCCTCCATTCTCTCAACTTATCCCTTTGTTGGGGATTTTTTTTCCATTCACATTCTTTATCTCCTGCCTCTTCTTTTTCACCCTTTGTTGAAGTGTAGTAGGGCCTCTAAAACTCACTGGGGAAATTTAATGTACATATAGTTATGCATAATTTACCCATCATGGTGTGAAAAAAATAATATGAAAAATAGGATGCATCCAGGAAAACAGTTTTAGACTGTGTGTTATGTTTTCCTCCTCGAGAGTCGTTGAATTACAAAAATGCTGTATTTTATGGCAAATATTTAGTGTACCTCTCACAGGTGACTTAAGTACAAGATACGTTTAGAGCCAGGATGGTGGTTACACCGTGACCACAGTTTTTCTGAATGGCACATTTGGGTTTGAATAAACAGAGCACTAATGCCTTGTGGTATAGATCTTCACTGAAACTAGATCTGCCCCAGTACGCAATACTGGTTCCTTCTTAAGTCACGAGTAAATTGCTAGAATCAAACTTTAAACACAGTAATATGTTTAGTCATATCATGTGTTTGAAGTTATTCATTGTTTTGGCATACATTACAGTCACCATCTTGTGAGTAGGTGAGGTAGGAGGAGGATGTGTCCTGATGTATAGGTCTGTCACTGGTGGTAAGGGTGGGAGTGTGTTTTGGTCCCTGCATACAGTGGCCGATTGGAGCCTTTGCTCACCGTTATCTTGGAGTTGCCATATAAACTTACTTTGGGGCGTTGAAAGGGGAGAGTGGATTGCATCTGCTGCACTTTCAAATTTCACGTATACCAGTAATGGGATTTGGGAAATAAATTAGTTACTGAGATAACGAACATGCTTAGCAGGAGAAAACATTAAACAGTTTGTTCAAAATTGGATATCTGAGCCCATGTCTGATGGTATAGAAGAAATGCTTTCTCTAGAAATGAGGTGCAACATGATCAGCATTGGCATGGCTGTGTGGTTCCTTATAATGGCCCCTTTTCTCTGTGAAGGGAAAGCATATTTCATGGTGGAAACCCTTACAAATACATACATTGAGCTTTTGCAGCCACATGATGAAACAATGGACACACAAAACTAGCAGAACATATGTTCTCTATGTGTTTACACTCATAACAGAAGTGATACCTTCATTTTGACTGCTTTGTACTGGAACATGGTGAATGAATGTGTGGTGACTATGTTTATGCCAGTTACCTGAAAATATTACGGATGAGACATTTAATTATGTGTTTTTGATCTTAGAGTGATTTTTATGTTTGATATCAATGGCTTCATGATCTGTGGGATGCATACTATGGAGCTTCTCAAGCGCTGGCATTATGGTTTTGAGTTCCACATGGAACACTGGATGTTAATTTGGTTTTTATTGTATTGTCCCATGATGAAAACCCATATGGTTATCTGATCCCCAATCCACCTTATTTTACCACTTGTATGGATCAGGAACTAGGTAAAAACATACGCTTGAATCATACTAGAATGCATGAAAAGATTCTGCTTAATTTTCATGTAAGATCAATGGCCACAGTGCCAAATCATTTTTACCTGCTTGATTGATATTGATATCAGATCGGCATAACTGAAAGACTGATTGTTTTCCAAGATATATTGTTAATGCACTTATTGCAAAAGAAAATCCCATAGATGTAAACCTGGTTAAAAATACAGATCTGATACAAGTTCAAAAATATTTGCAGAGACCATTGATGTAGACAGAATGCAAGGAATACATTGAAAAAGAACTCCAAATTTGAGTACACCATTTATTTCTTGTTATTCAGTATTACAGACAAGGTTATATAGATACGGGTGAACATGAAGCTATTTTCTTTGCAGCATGGAGAAAAGAACTTAGAAAATGTTACACACGAAGAAGCAGTAGCAACGTTGAAGGCCACACAAGACCGAGTTGTGCTGCTTGTGGCAAAACCTGAAACAGCTTACCTGCCACCACCACCAGATGTCTCAAGTACGCCACCTCCACCTCGTAAGATAATTTTTATTTTTTTTAATTCTCTCATTGTTAAAATGTAAAATGCTCTTTATTTGTGTTTCTTCTTGCCTTCTTGAATGTGATGATGTGATTTAATTTTTTCACTTTAGAGTGTGTTGTGTACTTCTTACTGTGTGGATATTTCCTTTGTGTTGTTCTGTTCCTGGTTTCATTGTGAACATTTTGTTCTATCATCAACTAGACTTTATGTCATCAACTGTATTCAAATTAGAATAGATGAGTCAAGTTATGTTCAGGGTGAATACGTAGCTTATTTGGTTTTGAGTATTAGCATTTTGAAAGTGGAAATTGATCATTTAAGTTTTCTTTAATTTGGCAGACTTAACAATTTGTGTACCTCATAGTAACAACCTTATGTATGTCTTGAGGAAATTTTATGACCAACATCAGTAAACCTGGAATTCTGCAGTTTTGGTTAATTTATAAATTAACTAGTGTTATTTTAAACATTTTATTCTGCTCTAGATTTGTATTATGAAAAAGATGATTTCTGCAATTAGACAATAATTGTTGAACCAAACTTGTGGTAAGGACTCCCCTCTTCCATCACTTAACTTGCAATAAATTTTTCTGTTTAAATAATAGATTGAATGAATGAACTGTTAACTAATTACCTCTGCAATTAGGTGTAGCAGTAGTCATTTAAATTTGCATTNGAATTCTGCAGTTTTGGTTAATTTATAAATTTACTAGTGTTATTTTAAACATTTTATTCTACTCTAGATTTGTATTATGAAAAAGATGATTTCTGCAATTAGACAATAATTGTTGAACCAAACTTGTGGTAAGGACTCCCCTCTTCCATCACTTAACTTGCAATAAATTTTTCTGTTTAAATAATAGATTGAATGAATGAACTGTTAACTAATTACCTCTGCAATTAGGTGTAGCAGTAGTCATTTAAATTTGCATTTTATTGCAATATGTGCTACAAATTAGTTTGACATATTGGGTAAGGTAATGCTGAGTAGTGTTACGTTTTACAGTTGCTTTAACTGTTTTGCAGCCCCTTTGGAAACACCAATGCCATATTCAGACTCGCTCAATGCATCAATGGCTCTGCAGGCATCCACACCACGAGCTGTCAGTGAAGAAGACATTTCTCGGTAAGTCAGAACTCCTTTGTGTTTATGTGTGTTTGAGTGTGCATGTACTTGTGTAATATCATATAAGGTTAATTACAGATATTTTTATTATTAGTAGATTCAATACCAGTCATTAATTCAGAAAAAAAGTATACTACCATTTAAAAAAAACTGTGCTGTCACATCTGAGGTGTAGATATCTGCATACAACTGTGAATGCCACATTATTTGAAGACTCAAGCAGATCTTTTGTCATGTCTCATGTTTGCCAAATTAAACACTTTTAGGAAGAAATTCAGAATTTAATAAAAAACGTTTGTATTATGTATTATTTAATCATCTTTTATTAAGAACATCATTATGTTTCTACAGGAATATGGCTTGGCATTATAAAGAAAGAACAACTAAACTATCAATATACATTCAGATATTTATCTCTTATTGAAAGGATATTGAACCTGGCTTATATTATACTAGTTTTCAACATTTTAAGCATTTATATGTGTGAGTGGATATCTCTTTTATGTAATTCATGTCAATTTTAATCGATTCATATAAAGTTTCCTTCTGTAATTGTATGCCCCTGAAGATGGCCATATGTGGGTGAAACATATCAGGCTTTATGGTTATTTTAAGGTAATCAGTACCTCAGTAATAATAACCTCTATTAGACTGCTCATATACTCATATTGAAGTTAAGTGCAATGTCAGTGCCATTTCATAAGTACTCCAANGTACCTTGGTAATAATAACCTCTGTATAACTGTTCCTATACTCATATTAAAGTCAAGTGCAATGTAAGTGCCATTTCAAGATCTCCATATTTCATTAGTGCGAGGAAAAGTATATATGATACCCTGTTGTAAGATGGTCCATATTGCATAAAGTGTGACAGATGCATTCTGTGATGCAAAGGAAGTACCCATTATATTGGATAGACTGGCAATGAGGAAGAGAAATGGTGATGAAAAGCATACACAAACATCCATTTCATATACAGATTCATACCCTCCTGTCCTGAGAGCTCAGTTAGCAAACACCAGCCATATATCTACCCTAGCGAACCTCTTTCAGTGTTAATGAAACAAAGTTTTAGGTTTTTTTTTAATGGAAGGGAGTATCAAATATTACCTAACAGAGGCATGTGATAAGCAAATTAAAGATCTCTGATGGCTTAAGCTTATTTATGCAGACGTATTTACATTTCACCAGATTACTCTTTTGTTTTGCAGAGTGGTAGCGCACACAGTGGTAAACGTTTTTAGTCTGGCTGTGTTCCAGCCATCCTGGCCAAGTACTTTATGGCTTTACTCATTTCCTGCAAGTGAATGCCAGGATGCTAAATAACCTCACCAGATGATACATTTTCATAAATTACCTGAGTAACCATGCAACTTTGTCAGTCTATGAGAGTTTCCTACGTTTCCACATATTGCATGTTTAATGAATTGCAAATGTATGGAACTAAATTTCCGGGCAGTATGTTTTATGTCAACTGCATATAGTTAAGGTCTGCCAAGTAGTGATAATTTGATATTTTCAGACATAAGAAGAAGATATGTAAAAAAAATATACATATTAAATTTCATGCTGTATTTTGATACAGTTTCATTTTGCTTAACTGTGTGTAGAATGAATTTGCCATGCACAGAGAAAGATGGGTGGTATATTTTTAGAAGTAATATTCAAATAAAATATGTGGGATCCAAATTGGGTCACTGACACAAAATATCTTCACTTTGTAGAAGGACTCAAACAAGCATCTTTATGTATTGTTGAATGGTCACAGGGACTATTTGGATATAGTCCTATTTCCCAGTGTGGTTCAGGAATACTAAGTTTGCAGTGAAAATAATTCACAGTTATGCTCTCAAACTGATAAGGCTGATTTATGAATTAGGGTCTTTTATAAAGGTAAAAGTAAATTTACACTCATGCAGAGGCATGCAGTTGTCACTTTCTCTGAGAAAGTACTTGGCAAGAGACTGTGGGCTCAGACGTCAAGTTGCAGCTGTGAGGAGGTTCCTCAGCTACACAGTCCATAGTCACTGGCTGGTTAGTGTTTCTTTGATTATTTTGTATTCCTTCGTTACTTTTTGCGGTGACAGTGCGATGATTGTATGTGCTGAATCAGGAAAGCAGTGGAAAGAGTGGTTGTGTCTGTCACAAGGTACTGTCCTCATTCTACAATTCTGCAACCAGCTGTCGGTTTTCAGACTGTGGATCTGATTATTCTTTTTCAGATGTAGCACACTGAATGCACTTGATTGTCCATGATTGACCATGCAGTTGGCATGGTTTCCCTTCTCATGAAGCTCTGTTGTTCTCTCAGCCACAGAAGAGAACACACAACATTCTGTGTATGCATTATCTTTTACAGTATTATATTACAGTGCATTTAAATATACTTGATTGTAAAGATTTTTGATTGTGTAATGTCTACATGGATGGAAAGAAATCTAGCCTCCCAAACATGATGTGTTTTCTTTCATAAAATCGACAGATCCACAGATAATGCTCCCCTCACTATCTTAATGCAATAACCGTCTTGAAATATGAAAATATTTGGTAATTTTAGATGTGTTTAAAAAGGGAAAGTCATCTGTTACTTCCATCATGTCTCCCTACACATTAGTAGCAGGATCCAAAGTCAGTGCATTAGACATGCACTAACCTTTATTAAGCTGGTCTTTAAATTGCTTTTTTTACTCATGGAGAACTCACCCTCTTCTGCTGTTTGTTGTCTTTTGGTCTTAGTGTTATGCTGAAATGACCATAATTTTCTGTTATAATGAAATTATCAGGAGAGTTTGGTTTGACTTGAGTTTTATCCAGAAGGTTAATACATCTTGGTCTCACTTCAGTTATTTGTCATTAGTCAAGGTTTTTAGGATCATCTTAGAATAAAACTTTTTGACTTTGAGACTTGTGGTTAAAATTAGCAAACACTTCTTTCCATTCTCCTCTGCTGTCGTTCTGTTAGGCATTCTTTGATAGGTACAAATTTCCACACTTTTCCAACATTTTAATCAGTTTTGCTCCTGCCCAGAAAGGAAATAATTTCTGAATTTTTTATTTAATATTTATCTTTGATGAAAACATTATCATGTGGTTCATTCTCTGATTTTTATACATAAGGATTTACTTAAAATATTTTTACGAAATGCTGTTACAGTGGAAAATGAGTAACTAATACTGGATCTTTTAAAAATGTAACACTACTTTTCATGATACTTTTTGTCACATTTTTTACTTATGTGAGGGAACTAAAGAAGGAGTATTTGTTCTAATTACCCTTAAGGAAAAAATGCTTAAAATTAAGAATTAAATGTTCTGTTAGGGAAGTATTTTGGAGTGCAGGCCATCTTTGTTGAGATAATTTCAGTTATGAGATTAATGTCTTCAGGGTAGTTATGCCATGTAGTGTATTAGAAATTTACTAACGTTTAGATTGAACATGCTACCTCTATCTTCAGTATAGTTCAGTTATGTTTTTGGGGGTTAAGTCTAGGTTTCTCCCCACGATTTCCTGGTCCCAAAAAAAACAGCATTTTTAGAGGAATTATTAAGGACATTTTGAAGACTGCATATTACAAAAACTTCTACACAGGGATTATAGCAACTACTTTCTTTTAAATGCTTTTTTATATAAGAGATTCTTATAAATTATCTTAATGATTTATCTTTTAGTATTTAGATGTGACCTCAAAAGTTTGTACTACTTCATGAAGTATAACTATCAAATGCAACATCAGTTATAGATTTCACACATTTCTGTATGTCGGTATTTGATATTATTTACTCCAGACTGGTTGGTGCAGCGATAGTGCCTCAGACTATTTGATAGGTGTTCAGATCAAATCTTGGCCTGGACACTGGTGGTCTTGATTTAGGTTTTTATGTTTTCTTCAGCCCAGAGCCATGGTAGGACCTGGATTAGGCCATGACCACTTCTTTCCAAGTCTTTCCTATTCATCACCCATTCAGTGTTGTGTACTATCAGTACTGACAGGTTTATAAAATAAACCACAGAAGAAATATGCATTCTTCACGAAGATGACCCAAACAGGTGTTGCATATTTTTTTATAAAGCAGTGTGGCACTAGAATTTCTTCAAGTTGGAGTAGTCTTTGTGGTCATGATTGTGCTCAATAGAACAGGTGTTTGGTTCCAAAGTTATTATTGGGGTAGAGAAAGTTCATTGACATAATATCTTAGCCTTCTTTCTCCTTTTAAATTAAAGGGGGTGAAAATAAGGATAGTGGGCCAAAACAAAAAGAGTATAAAGAATATGGTGATGTTAGATGGTATCTTATATAACAGCATTAGATTTCTGCACAGTAAGTAAGCTTTTATTTTTCATCCACTCAATGGCCACATGATTCTCTGAGATCCACATTGCTTGAGTAACAAATCTTATAGCATAAGTCTGCATCTGACAGTATGCTTTCTTTCCTCTTCTCCATGTGGAATGGCATAGGCAGCATGCCAAGTTATGAGTTAAATGTGATCTGTTTAATTTTCTGGAAAAAAAGGTGACACTAAAAGAGAAACAAATTACTGAAATGACAGTGATTCATGTCTTTCATTGATTAGATGCCATTCTAAAAAGAGTTTTATCTTCTGGGATATAACATCTTGTATTTCGTAGAAAGTCAACTGACTTTTGGAAGTACATGTCACCTCCATCTTTGGGGTGAAGAATGAGTTGAGCTTGCTACCTGCTTTCATGCTGGTTTCCTGCTTGGCTTATTCTTCGACTCTGAAGATGGGGGTGACATATTGCTCCAAAATGTCAGTAGACATTCAACGAACTATACAGTATTATATCCCAGAAGATAGGACTGTTCATAACCACCACTGTGAGAACCTTGAACCCTACACAATGCCATCCTAGTTTATTATCTCATTTAATGTTTTTAATTAGTTCTACTGTTTTATGTGCAACAGTTTATTAAAACTTTAAAAGTTTTCATGACATGTTTCCACCGAATTGGTCATCGTCAGGTGTTAAAAGTTGT